GTGAGCACAGCGACAAAGAGAGAAGACTCTTGAGCTTGCAGTCTCATGCGAGATGGTGGATTTTGCCACCTGCACGCTCAACCGAAGTATTCATCCTTTGCAAGAGCTAGACCTAACCGAAACCACCAAGAGAGGCGCAGGGGCGAATACTTCACGGGGGGGCCAGTCCAATTTGGCCATCGATTGAAGTGCACTTTGCACTCCGACTTGCACCATGTGCCTCGGGTGACACTGAGGGTAGGGTTTAGGGTTTAGGGTTTAGGGTTTAGGGTTTAGGGTTTAGGGTTTAGGGTTTAGGGTTTAGGGTTTAGGGTTTAGGGTTTAGGGTTTAGGGTTTAGGGTTTAGGGTTGGAGGTAAGCTCATCGGAATCGATTGAAGTGTCAGTCCTGTACTCTTGACTTGACCAGCCCACTACCCAAAGCTGCCTCTCTCTGACCCCTAGAATTTTACCCACTCTTCGCCATTTGGGGTTCAAGACCGTGGCGCTTGTGCCACAGACGGCAATTGGGCTTGGATTGCTTGGGTTGGTTTAAGGGTTTCGGGCTACTGCTTGGGGGTGCAACTCCGAGATCTGCAGTTTGCTGGGAGCAGAGTGGGCAAGGGGGCCCGGGGGTGCACTGTCGGGTGTTGGGTCTAGCGCTTCCCGAGTTCACCACTTCAGGAATGACGCAACACAAACGGGCCTTGGCAAGTGACACGTGGATACTCGAGGCGACAGAAGTGCAAGGGTAGTAGAAGCCGCCGTGGCTGCGGGGATTTCAGCCCCTACAATGCTGGGGGCAACAACAGCGTGTGGCTTGGCTTGCAGAGAGTTTTGGGTTTCCGCGCGTGCGTAGGGGGGAGGACGCATAGCGCCTGAGCGAATAACCCCATCCCGACCCCATGTTTCTGCATGCAGACGAGTGGAGGAATACCGGGAGACTTAGCCCCCAACAGAATGTTTTTCTGGGTCCCTTCTTTAAAAAGGGTTAGGGCATAAGCCCATGCGTCCTGGGTAATGTGTAAGAGTCTTGGGTATCATGTGCACCTCGCCCACGTACCCTGAACTAGTGCTCGTGTCTTTGTTTGTTGCGGACAAGTGAGGAGGAAGGTGCAGATCTTCATGGTAGACAGCCCCAAACCCGAGCGGCTTACGCGCTGGCGTGTTTCATGTCACTGCCTTGAAACGAAAGTAGCTTGAGCTCAAACCCCGTCATCTCTCGGCAGGTCCCTTAAACCCCCAAATCCCAAAACCCCAACAAATCCTTTCCTGCTTGAGCGAATGAGAGTCGAAGCCCCCCAAGAACCCTAAACCCCAAACCCCAAACCCTAAACCCCAAGCCCTAAACCCCAAGCCCCAAAATGCAATCCTAAGCAGTGCCAAAGAGTGGTCTAAGGCCCGGCATGCAGAGACGTGGACAGGGCGGCCAGTGTTTGACGCCTCCTGAGATGCGTGGGCCAATCATGGACTCCTTTCAAGGGTTGATGTAAAGATATATATATATACACAAGTATAGAGGTATATGTATATAGGTATGTATGTATATATATATATACATATATATAGGTATATGTATATATGTATATTTGTGTGTTTTTTTGTGTTTTCAGGTTTTGGGGTGTGGCTAGGTTTAGGAGATTCTGGAATGCCCGAGCCGTGTTGGCGGGGTTTCAGGGCCGATCTGGGCGTCGTTCGGGCCTCCAGGGTTCCAGGCATGAGCCTACATGGCACTTAAGTTACAGGCCCTAAGCCCTAAGCCCTACAAACCCTACAAACCCTACAAACCCTACAAACCCTATAAACCCTATAAACCCTATAAACCCTATAAACCCTATAAACCCTATAAACCCTATAAACCCTATAAACCCTATAAACCCTATAAACCCTATAAACCCTATAAACCCTAAGCCCTAACCGTGGCTCACTGTCTTTAGGCCTTTGGGGTTTTAGGGTTGTTTTCGGGGGTGTTGTAGCCAACACGAGTTCGTGGATGTATCTCGCAAGCAGCGAGTTTGTTTTTGTGTCGACACTTGGGGTCGCGGCCAGGCCAGTTGCTCTATGGATAGAAGCCTATTTGCTATTTCATATTTCGCGCTCTTCACTCATCTTTCTAGCTCGACCTCGTCTTCTTCAAAAAGCATGATGTGCCATACGGTTGTGGAGCTCTTGTGGTCATGGCTTTCATGGCAGGATGGTACCAAGCGTAGTCGGCAAGTCTGAAAAGAGGGATGATCTGCCCATGCTGCATCGGGAGCAAAGTCGGGGTCAGAACTGTAAGCTGATCTGGCCAGCGACTGGCAGCGCGCGACGGCGACTGTTGGTTTAGGTTTCCCCTAGTACTTTGCCTGGTGTAGTAGTGCTTCGGTGTTCTGGGGGGCTGGGCAATGTGAAAAAGGGGGATGCTCTCCACCAAGTTTGTCTCGGATCCTTTTCTGACAGAGGAAGTCTAAACATAGGGGGCCACTGACTTTCAGTGCAAAGTGGTCAAGCTTTGGGGGGAGCTCTGACTAAACCATGCTGCCTCACTCAAATTTCCCAGCTGAGTTTGAACTTCCTGAGTTCAAAGAGTCGGCGTCCCAAGAACCCCACAGAAGTTGAAACCCAGAACAATGGAGATGCCGCCGTTATTAATGCAGTCCCCTGCGCCCCAGAGCACTCACATCCCTAAAACAGTAACCAACCAAAAAAAGGGTGCCCTTGTTATAATATGGTTACTGGGCTACTAAGCCAAAGTATAGGAATGAGGCAACTCGGAATGAGGGGCTTTCGTCGGCGCGCGGCTGCCCGCTTTGCGAAACGGTGTTTGCTTGGTTCCAAAGAGGCAGTGGCTGCAATGGAGCTTGGGTTATCTGTAAGCAGCCCTAAACCCTAAACCCTAAAGCTGTATAAGGTTGCAGCATCCCCGCACCAGAGAACTGGGAGTCTGAACCCTACAGGCTAAGCTCTAAGATCCTTCGGTGTTTCCAGCGTATTGCCCCGCAGTGCATCGTGAAGGTCAGGTAGGGAGATGGCAGAAGCCGAAATCCTGCGAAACTCTGCAAACTGTGACCATATCTCCGAGCACGAAAGCTTGCCAAGTCCCACAATCTGCTCCGCAGTTAAACCGGCCTCCGACCCAGAACCCACTGTTTCAGATCTACAGGCGAGTCAGTGTGCTGGGGAAATAGGAGCGGCCCAGTCTAGCCACGGAGGCAAGGAGAAGGTATGGGTGTGGCTTGTTAAAGTATTGTGGCTTCAATGCTGCCAGTTCCTTTATTAGGAAGAGAGCGCTGGCCAAGCGCTGCACCCGTATGTCTGCAGAGACTGGCTTGAAAGGGGAGCTTGAAGGTGACTTGGGGTTTGATTTTGTTTCCATTATATGGTTTAGAGCCTCATCGTTCATGATGTGGCCGCAGACGCCAGGTGCAGTGCCCAGGAGGCATGTCTCTAGGTAATCTTTGTTTGCAAGGCGCCCTGAGGCTTGAATGGCCTGCCCAAAATGTGTTAGGGTTTCGGGTTTAGGGTTTCGGGTTTAGGCTTTGCAAGCCTGTTGCAAAAAAGGGTTTGCAGACAGTGTTGTGGTTTGGTGCGGGGGTTCATGACAAGAAGGTTCTGGGAACATGAATCTGCGGCCGCCATCCTTGCCTGGCGAGGTAAGTTTGCAAAATTCGTGGAAGTCCCGAAGAGGATTCATGCTCCTGAGGGGCGTGGCAATTTCAAATGCCGGTAAGTCCCCCCCAAGAATGGCGAAAGTGGCCGCAGTCTTGGAGTGGAGGGGGCGACCAAGCACCGCCGGACAGATCCGTGTTGCTCCAGGTGCCTGGGAGTTTCGAGTCCTTCGTCGCCTCGGTAGGGGACCACTGAGCCATGGATAGTTCAGAAGTATATGAGGAGGCTGGGACTCGATTTCGGGATGAGTTTGGCTTTGCCGCCAATGCACAGAAGGAGCATTGCGGGGCTAAATCATGTGCGCTGGACATGTTTCTGACGGGCTGTTTCCGTGGCAGGGCCTTTGCAGGCAGTCGAATTTTTTTTTGCGTTTGCTACTCGGGTGTAGGAACACTACGCCTCGGAACACGCGTGATGACTGTTGGGGGCCATGTTAGAGCGGTCGGGGACTTGGGCTGAGATTTTTGCGTGGTGAGACCAGAAGGTTTCAGGGCCTCTAAGGGTTTTCAGAGGGTTCAGATGTCGTCAGCCTAGATGCAACAAATGAAAATGAGGCTCTACTCCACTCCACTTCCGCTACCATGACCCTCATTTTGCCACATTCCCCAAATCAACTAATCCCGGAAGCCCCGAAATCCGAAGCCCCGCCTAAACCCCTAAATTCGTCGGAGCTGGCGCCGTTCTTCCATTTGCTTCCTGAAAAGGCAAACGACCCTCAGCAACAAACCCTTCTGCCCTAAACCCCTTGCTGTTGCAGAGAGTGCTTGCAAAACTTCTGAACCTCCTGACTCTGCTGTCCTTCGCGGCCCAACCCGCCGGGGGGCAAGCGCAGCCGCCCGCGCGCCGCGCAGATGCGGGGTGCCTCAAGTGTATGCCTCTTTCGGTGTGTGGACGGAGCTTCAAAATGTAGCTTGTAAAGGGTTACAGGAGATGTTTCTGAGGGTTGAGTGGCTGAAGGCTTGAAGGGGATGAAGGGCTTGGGGGAAATTATGCACCTAGGCCTGAAAGAAGCCTGCGAGCTCTTTAATGTAAGGCCCCTGCCCCAGAAGTCTCTGCCTCACCTGCATGGGTCGGATTGTGGGTTCGCTTGCGCCAACGCTCCGTGCTCAAACCTGCGCAAAACCGCGAGATGAGTTCACATTCACATGGCAATCCTCGGCCGTGGACCGGGCTACGTAGTACGTCATCCCGAAGTCTGCGAGCAGAAGGCCTGATCCGATGCAGCACCAGTTCCTCCAAGCCGGCCCCGAAGCCCAAGTTCGACCGGTGATACTCCGAAACCAAACAGGGTTTAGGGTTTAGGGTGTAGGGTTTAGGGTTTAGGGTTTCGGGCTGTAGACGCAAGGGCCAAGTAGCTCTACCACCAGACTCATGGCGACTGTGCTGCTGCCGAAGCGGCTTTGTGCTTCCACCACCGCCGGCCTGCTGAGGACCCCGAAAGTATAGACCAGAGCTTGCCTTTCAACTTCGTAGCCTCAACCCTAAACCCTAAACCCTAAACCCTAAACCCTATAATAGCCGAGAGTGAGTGGTAAAAAGGGCTCCATTGGAGTAGTTGGTGAAAGTTGAGGAGGGTGGGGGGTTTTTTGCGGCATAGAGTTGCCGGAGTTAGAGCGCCGGGGCGGGCCCTGGGCTTCAAGGCTCCAAGCCCTTTTAGGGTTGTAGGGTTTAGGGTTTAGGGTTTAGGGTTTAGGGTTTAGTGTAAATCTGTGAAGGTGTATAGTTTCTCCCCGATCCCTCCCGTAGTTTCCTTCGCTCGCCGCAGGCACAAGGGTTTTGTTTGCGCGATGAAAACGCGCTACTGCTGCCTACTTTAGGCGTCTTAGATTGGTAGCGGAGCCTGTCCGTTCTAGAGCCATGTCTTCTGGTTTGACCAGCTTCTATGCGCGCCAGGGGCGCCCACCGGCGGAGGTTTTCGCTACGATCGATGAGACAGCGCCGAGAGGCGCATCTGGTGCAGAAGAACCAGACGCACAGTCTGAGAGGGTTGGCAACAATGCAGAACGTGATGGACATGAACGTCATCAAGGACGTCGAGAGCAAGACGACGAAGATCCATGGTCTCGGGGCGATGATCCATGGACGCAAGGTGGCAGTCGGCCACAGGACTGGTCCTGGGGGAGCAATTGGTGGGATGGGTCCTACCAATGGGGCTCATGGCAGGATTGGCGACGTGGCCCAGGACGACATGCGGCGGCACCGTGGCAGCGCTGGACGAGCCAAGATGACACGTGGGGTTCCACCTCGGCACATACAGGTGGATCCGATGAACGCGATGAACGTGGCGGCACAGCGGCAGCGGACGACGAGGAGCATGACTACCCGAAGGCTACTGGCGGCGCGTCGGCGAACAGGGACAGCATCGACTACACGAAGGCTTCGGGCGGCGCGTCGGCGTTCAGGGAGATCGAAGGCTACACGAAGGCTTCGGGCGGCGATGGCGCCGTCATGACGAGAGAACAGGGAGCTCACGGAGATCTACGAGGACACACTCGTGAAGGTGATGGTGTCGGACATGGACGACGTGAAGGTGGAGGCCCAAGCGAAAAGCTCACCGTGCCGGGCTTCAACGGCAAACCTGGGGACGCCGACGGAGACGATGTGGGCGTCTCTGCCCGTTCGTACCTACGCCAGGTTGCCGCCTGGATGCGCATGACGAAGATCTCGAAGGATAGACAAGGGTTAGTGCTTTACCAACACCTGACTGGTAGAGCATGGGTCGAGGCGGAGGGCCTCGACCTGGATCGTCTCGCGGCGGCCACCGGGGCAGAGTACTTCGTTGATTGGGTGCGTGAGCGGTACCTTGATGTGCAGGTGACGCAGGTTGGAAGGAGCTTGAGCGCTTTCTTCAGACAGCTCAGGAAGCGACCTGGACAGAGTATCCGGGACTACGTGGGCGAGTTCGACCGGGCGCATGCTCGATTAATCGAGTGCGGGTGCTCTCTGCCTGACTTGGCGGCGGCCTGGGTTTTCGTGGACAGGATGGGATTGGAAGAAGCCTCCGAACTCAACTTGTTGGCCTCGGTAGGGAACCAGTACAACTTGCGTCAGCTCCAGAAGGCGGCCATCGTTCAGGACAGGGCGCTCAGGAAACCTTGGGAGAATGGCAACAAGGGCGGTGGCAACGATCGTGGTCGTGGCGAATGGTGGAGGCAGAAGAAAGGGCTTCAGTCTGCCCTCATGGCGGATGACGTCTTTGCCCAGGACCAACACGACGAGGACGTGGAGTACCAGGAGTCGGAGACGATGCCGGAGGAGGTTGCCGCCGAGATGTACCACACGTACATGGCGTCTGCGAAGGAGAAATACCGTGACAACGCCAAACAGCGCGGAGTTGAGGGAGAAGCGCTCAAGGCACTCTCGGCCGAGAAGCTCAGGACGGCGAAGGCCCGTTCGTTCTGCGCAGGGTGCCGTCGCCGAGGGCACTGGCACCGTGATGCAGAGTGTCCCCTGAATCAGGGAAAGGGGGATCGACCTGTCGGCGCAAAGGAGGGCCGAAATCATGATGAGGCTGTCAAGACCACCTTCCAGACCCAGATTGTCTACGTCACATGGGACCTCGATGCGGAGACGGGATCGAAGGCCACCTTGTCAGGGATCACCGATACAGCTTGTTCGAGGACCGTAGCGGGCTCCGGATGGCTTGAGATGTACATGGACCAGGTCGGGAAGATTGGCCAAAAACCAAGGATCCTGAGCAACGACGAGCACTTCAGGTTCGGTGCCTCACGAATCTTCCACTCGAACTATGCCGTAGTGATCTCCTTCAAGCTTGGCAACGCAACGGTGCAGGTGAAGGTCGCCATCGTCAATGGGGAGCTTCCGTTGCTCCTAAGCCGGACCGTCTTGGGAGGCCTCGGGATGATCATGGACATCGCAAAGAACAGGGCAAGCTTTTCCGCGGTCGGTGTCACCGACCTTCCTCTTTTGATCACAGAGACCGGACATCCTGCGGTCCCTCTCACACCGGTAAGCATGCCCATGTCTGAACAGGACATGAAGGTATGGTCCGGAAAGGAGCTGTTGATCCACTCGAAGAGCGCGGAATACATGGTCCACATGACACAGCAGCTGTCAAGCCACACCGGGGGTTACGGGTTAGAACAGGAAGCAGCTTGGGATGTTTCGGTTGCACCTACGGGATCTCCTACCTCTCCAATGCCAGTTCTCTTTTACCCTAAGAAGATTGGAGCGGCTGCACGAAACATGTTCCTTGCGGACACCCTTAATGTCGACGCTTTCATTGCTTGGTGGAAGGCCACGAACATAACCACTGATTTCTGGATAGAAGGAGAGACAGTACTTGTACGTGTTCACGTGGTCCCTCGGCGCACTTTCTTCAATCCAGGAGGTTGGGCTACAAAGAATCACGAACACAAGGAGGCCCTCATGCAACAACTCGGGAGTGTACGTAGTACCAGTGGGATCTCATGTAAGACCTATCGTGACTTGGTGCCTGTGCATGGTCTGTGGCAAGGACATGATGATGATGGACAATATCCCGTGTTGTGGGTTGGCCGAAGCATGTTTTGTAGACGCAAACCACAAGTGCGCACGCCCCTACCTGACCCCGCCTCGCTGAGTCATGTCGTCTCCGAAGGGGCCAGCGTTGAGCGTGATGAAGAAGGAGGACCTGGTGAACGAGTGTCACCGGTTGAGCATCACGGTCCAACCCCAGTGGACAGTCCCGGAACTGCGAAGCATCATCCAGGAGGAACGGAATCGTGCCCAGCCCTCGCAGACGGTGCCAAAGGGTCTGAGCTCTATGTCGTTGGAGGAGCTGAAGTCCATGGCGAACACCTTCAACATCCAGCTTCCGGAGAGGCCAAATCGTGGACTCATCATGCGGCTGATCCGCGACACGACGCAGGATGTGGGGGACAGGGTGATGTGCTTCGGGAGGTACAAGGGGTATGCCTTTCGAGATGTTCCATTGGGATATCGCCAGTGGGCACAGCGGGAGATGGCGGTCAACGACAACTGCTCCGAGGACCTGAGGATGTTCGCCAGCTGGGCCAGTCGGGAGGAAGAGAGCGAGGGCAGAGCCACCTACGACCCGGAGGCCCATGCGGTGATTCCCTACAACCCGAGCGAGGAGAGTTGGTCGATGGTCCGCACGGCGCCGGGTTCTTCCACGACACACCGGACGACGACCATGATGACGGCGGCCTTGCAAACACCGCAGACCCCGACTCGAGGCGGAGGACAGCATCGGAAGGGCAACTCAAAGGGGCGAGACCTCCACCGCTGGAGCACAACATCGGAGCCGGGTGTGGGAGTCCACGACTATGTCCCCAAGGCCAAAGCGAAGACGAGGACACGATCGGATGCGGGAAGCATTTCGTCGATGGACCAGGAGGTGGACCCGGAGACCCTCGACGAGATACAGTTCCTGGAGACCAGGTTGGCTGTCCTCAAGGATCGTCACGGCTTACCCCCGTCGCGGAGGTGATTGAGCAGGAAAGTGGTCGAACTGGGCAAGGGGCCACGGCGCGGTTCGACGACATGGCAGTGGTCCGTGGTGATGGCGATGCTCACGCAGAAGAGACCTGTCGAGACATCGTGTACTACGATTGCGAAGAGGAGGCAGACCCACCACAACACCCGAACAAGACCATCGACCCGGCTCATGAGGAGGAGGTGGTCCTCGTCGAGGATGATGAAAACTTGCCTGAGACCCTCGAGAACACCATCGCCGATGAGATTGCGGGGTACCATTTCGATGAGGAGTACAAGGATGTCCTGATGACGAAGGTTAATCAGGGGCCGAGCTTCCAAGGACGAGATGAAAGACCTCTCTTCATGGAGATCTACGCCGCAAGGGTGGATTGAGCGCTGCATTTGAAAGTCTGGGGTACCAGGTCATTTCGGTGGATTTCCCCGATTGGGATCTGGATGTGCCCAGCCAACGGCGCGATCTTCTACGACTTGTCCAAGATCTAGAACCTGATGTTCTTTGGTGTGCCCCGGAATGTACCCTCTGGAGCGTGATACAGAATTTGGTCACGAAGGACGACGCCGACAAGGAATCTCTGGAAAGAAGAAGGGCAGCGCATCACAGGTCACACCTTCACCTCGTCCGAACCTTGTACCTTGAGCAGGAGCGACGAGGAAGAATTGCTGTCGTGGAGCACCCCCGGGGCTCAGTGGCATGGAAGACACGAGCTCTACGGGATCTTCCTGGTGCTGCACTACATGTTGACCACTGTGCGTATGGTTCATGCTTGCCGAACGTCAAGGGAGAGCTGAAGCCCATCAAGAAACCCACGCGTCTCCAGGTGACACATCCCGAGCTGGAAGGGTTGATTCAACGACGCTGCTCCGGAGATCACGATCATCTGACCCTTCTCGGTGGTGGAAGGGGGTGTCGATCACTTGCAAGGGCGGCGGCGGCGTACCAAGAAGGCTTCTGTCGAGCAATGGCCACAGG